GCTCTCAATCTCGGTCTGAACTGCCCTTAATTCTCGACATTTCATAGGAACGCTCTTGAACTAATATCAACTTTGAACCATTTCTCTCACTAAAAGGCATCTTAATACACTAATAAACAGAGAACGTATTGCACGGTGGCCCAAAGCACAACGGCGAGCACCTTTCCAACAGAACTCGAGGCACGCCATCAGTGGCCATTGTGTTTTCACCGTCTGTTCACCAATATGGCCTCATTGTGTGGGAGTCGTGCTCAGCTTTTCTGGTTAATCAGCGCTGAGCAGTCTGGTTTAAAAATAAGACTCTGGTAATTGTGTCCGCGACACTCAGCCTGGTACCTGCTGGGACTTCAAGCAGCTGAGATTTGGCGGGTGGAAGGAGATGATTTTCACACACTGTTGGTTCGGGCTCCACAGCCAGCCGTGCTTCTCCTCCGCGCGGCTGCACTCCGATCGCCTGCTGCATCTACACAATCAATAACACAGCACAACAACAACATTAGAATGCAGTTATGTGTTATGGAAAACACGATATCTATCTATCTATCTATCTATCTATCTATCTATCTATCTATCTATCTATCTATCTGTCTGTCTGTCTGTCTGTCTGTCTGTCTGTCTGTCTGTCTGTCTGTCTGTCTGTCTGTCTGTCTGTCTGTCTGTCTGTCTGTCTGTCTGTCTGTCTGTCTGTCTGTCTGTCTGTCTGTCTGTCTGTCTGTCCGTCCGTCCGTCCGTCCGTCCGTCCGTCCATCCATCCATCCATCCATCCATCCATCTATCTATCTATCTATCTATCTATCTATCTATCTATCTATCTATCTATCTATCTATCTATCTATCTATCTATCTATCTATCTATCTATCATGTCTATCTGTCTATCTATCTATCTATCCGTCCGTCCGTCCGTCCGTCCGTCCGTCCGTCCGTCCGTCCGTCCATCCATCCATCCATCCATCTATCTATCTATCTATCTATCTATCTATCTGTCTGTCTGTCTGTCTGTCTATCTATCTATCTATCCATCCATCCGTCCATCCGTCTATCTATCCATCCATCCATCCATCCATCCATCCATCCATCCATCCATCCATCCATCCATCCATCCATCCATCTATCTATCTATCTATCTATCTATCTATCTATCTATCTATCTATCTATCTATCTATCTATCTATCTATCTATCTATCTATCTATCTATCTATCTATCTATCTATCTATCTATCTATCTATCTATCTATCTATCTATCATGTCTATCTATCTATCTATCTATCTATCTGTCTGTCTGTCTGTCTGTCTGTCTGTCTGTCTGTCTGTCTGTCAGTCAGTCAGTCAGTCCGTCCGTCCGTCTGTCTGTCTGAGAAATATATTAATATTGTAATAAATAAAAGTGAAGAATAAATAAGACATTTTATTAAAATAAAACATTATAAAAAAAGTAAAAACAATCTTCAAAATTCTATAACAATTATATACTATTGTTTATTATTATTTATTTGAAGCTTTAAATTTAATTTTTGAATAAATTTTTTGGAAAAACGCAATATAAAATGTATGAAGGGTTAATTAATTGTACAAATGGTTATAAATAATATATAGATTAAATCTAAAAAAAAAAAGAAATCGCTTTTATGAAAGTAATACCCCAATGTTTTTAAAATAAAAATAGCTATATTATATTTATGATATACATAGTAAATTTATGTTTGTTTATTATTTGTATAGCACATTTAAAAACATTACATGTTGGCAATTTATGTGTCTATAGTGTATTAAAGTGAGTACAGAACTTGACAAATAGAAAAATAAAAAAATTATTAAAATATTAAAAATAGAATATTAAAATATTTAAAATAAACAGAAAATATAAATTAATAAACAGTACAAAATGGTCACAACATAAATTGTAAGCAGATTTATTTTAAACCCCAACATCATATGTAACCGCTAATTAGGGGTTGTTCTATATTATTATATTTTAATTCTGATCTTTATTTTTCACATGAGCACCAGTATACCAAAGACATAACTTTTCACTGATTTTGAAGAATATTAAAAGCATGTGCCCACCTTCCCTCCAGCACACACCAGCCGCAGTATGGATCTTTCTGAGCGACACATGACTGGCAGTCCTGCTTCAGATGGCAGGCCTGAACGGGCACCTTCACGATCTGGACGAGCACAAATAACAAAACCATTCAAATACAGCAGGAATTCAGCATGTAAGAGGGCACTGCAAAAACCAACCACAATTCAGCATGCAAGCTCAAATGATGTCATCACTTCACTAAAAGCTGAAAACAACAACCGAGTAGCTTCTTGCAAAGAATTGTGTTTACACTGGAATGATCTGATCTACACAAAGCCTGTGGTTCAAGCGGAATTAACAGCAGAAAATTGCAGAGAAGCCCATAAAACAGCAAAAGAATGATTTCAAAACATCATTGCTTTATAAACACTGCAATTACGCTACAGTGAGGTTAAAGACTAACACACAGCAAGAAGACAAACACTATACTGCTGCCTTCAGATAGTGGCAAACCATCTTAACATATAATCTATCATATATATAAATAGATACAGTGATGTGAAAAATGTTTGTTCCTTACTGATTTCTTATTTTTTCACGTCCTTCACACTTTGATGTTTCAGATCATCAAACTAATTTAAATATTAGTCAAAGATAACAAGTAAAAACATCATGCAGTTTTTATATGAAGGTTATTGTTAGGGGAAAACAAAATCCAAAAACAAAGCACATTAGCAAGTCCACTTCTGAATGGCTGCAGAAAAACAAAAAATGAAGACTTTGGAATGGCCTAGACAAAGTCCTGACCCGAATCCAATTGAGATGCTGTGGCGTGACCTTAAAAAGGTTATCAAAAATGCTTGATTGGCATCATTGCTAATAAGGGTGGCCGAAACATATATTGGGTTTATGTAGTTTTGGTCAGTTTCAATTTAGGGTGAACTATTCCTTTAAACTTTGATGTTTCAGATCATCAAACTAATTTAAATATTAGTCAAAGATAACAAGTAAAAACATCATGCAGTTTTTAAATGAAGGTTAATATTGTTAAGGGAAAACAAAATCCAAAAACAAAGCACATTAGCAAGTCCACTTCTGAATGGCTGCAGAAAAACAAAAAAATGAAGACTTTTGAATGGCCTAGACAAAGTCCTGACCCGAATCCAATTGAGATGCTGTGGCATGACCTTAAAAAGGTTATCAAAAATGCTTGATTGACGTCGTTGCTAATAAGGGTGGCCTAAACACTTATTTTTTATGAAGTTTTGGTCAGTTTCAATTTAGGGTGAACTAAAAAACATAAAGGCTTTGGAGTGGCCTAGACAAAGTCCTGACCCGAATCCAATTGAGATGCTGTGGCATGACCTTAAAAAAAATAAAAGAAATGCTTGATTGCCGTCGTTTCTGATAAGGGTGTCCCAAAGACTTACAAGAGTTATGTAGTTTTGGTCAGTTTCAATTCAGGGTGAACTATTCCTTTAAACTTTGATGTTTCAGATCATCAAACTAATTTAAATATTAGTCGAAGATAACAAGTAAACACCTCATGCAGTTTTTATATGAAGGTTATTATTGTTAGGGGAAAACAAAATCCAAAAACAAAGCACATTAGCAAGTCCACTTCTGAATGGCTGCAGAAAAACAAAAAATGAAGACTTTGGAATGGCCTAGACAAAGTCCTGACCCGAATCCAATTAAGATGCTGTGGCATGACCTTAAAAAGGTTATCAAAAATGCTTGATTGCTGTTGTTGCTGATAAGGGTGGCCCAAACACTTACTAGGTTTATGTAGTTTTGGTCATTTTCAATTAAGGGTGAACTATTCCTTTAAACGTTAAAATGGCTTGCCATATTCCGACCGCATTTAAAAATAATAACATACATTTCAGGAACAACAATAAAATGCACTAAAATAGCCGCTTCCTGAGGTCAAAGAGTGTCTATGATAAATGACTCCAGCCTCGTACCTTTTTCTCGGTGGTGATGTACAAGTGCGCCTGGGTTTTGTCGAAGAAAAGGTTCTTATTTACGTAGCCGCTGGTTTTGTAGCCCGGGCCTGGATTGTACGGCTCTGGCGAGCTTGACAAATGTACCTGCATAAAGAGAGAACAATAGACACAGAGAAAGCCACAATTAAACAGTCGGGCAACAGGACAGGACACATCTGTCATATTTACGGACCACACAAACCCCCCCTCAGAGCGTCCCACACACCTGAGCCACACCTGACAAACGTGTCAACCCTGAACTAATGGCCTACAAGCCCAATAATGGCCAGAAAATGGCGGGAACTCATAAAAACTCCATGCGGACTGGATTTTTTTCCCCCATCGCTCAATTGCATCTGTCTATCCTACAAATAATCAGCTCTAACAAAGGCTTATAGGAGCTAGCGGTTCATTATTTCTAATATAACGTCTAACGCGTTTAGCGGTAGCACTTGGGTTTGGGTGACAGTAATATCTCTTTCTCTTTCATCCCTCTGTCAGAGATTCGCCACGTTCCCTCTGCAATTCCCTCACCTGCCAAAGCCTAAACTCCAGCTTTTTGTGACGCGCATGCTAAATCAGGTGTGTGACATCAGGTAGCTAGCTGGTTGTAGCGCTTCACTAATTGGTTGTCTCAAATTTCCGGAGCGTTCGTTTCCTTAACAATGACTTACACTGTGCTCACTCTTTTTTTTTTTTCGGCGTCCTCCTACGGACTGTCAGTTTTTGGTTATTTTTACATTGTGGAGAAGTTTGTTAAGAGGAGTATTGTGTCACTTACTCATCCTCGTGTTGTTCAAAACCTGGAGGACTTTTTTTTTTTTGAAGTATGAAAGGAGTAACTATGAATGTTGGTTGTTCTTGTATATATGATTATTATTAGGGAAAGATGCTTTCAAACTTAACAAATATCATAAAAGTATATACATAATACATGATACAATAATAAAGCAAAATAATCCGTCGTTCTGTAAAGTCAATCAAATAATTCACTGAAAAGTTCTGACTCAAAAGACTCTTATTGAATACTTGCAATGTAATCTTTATACCTGTCAACATTGGGATGTGAAAATAAGGGATATGCTCAGCATATTAATTACTAATTATGTTCATCTGAAACAGTTTCATTGTGAATAAACAGTTAAAAAGTCAGTAATATGTTTTATTATTATTATTTACAAGATAAAAATAAATGGCGAGGTAGTGGCGCAGTAGGTAGTGCTGTAGCCTCACAGCAAGAAGGTCGCTGGGTCGAACCTCGGCTCAGTTGACGTTTCTGTGTGGAGTTTGCATGTTCTCCCTGCCTTCGCGTGGGTTTCCTCCGGGTGCTCTGGTTTCCCCCACAGTCCAAAGACATGCGGTACAGGTGAATTGGGTAGGCTAAATTGTCCGTACTGTATGAGTGTGTGTGAATGTGTGTGTGGATGTTTCCCAGAGATGGGTTGCGGCTGGAAGGGCATCCGCTGCGTAAAAACTTGATGGATAAGTTGGCGGTTCATTCCGCTGTGGCGACCCCGGATTAATAAAGGGACTAAGCCGACAAGAAAATGAATGAATGATGAATGAAATAAAAATAAATGTCATAAGCTGCGTCCCAAATGGCACACTATACACTATGCACTCATGCACTATGTACTTATGCACTTACACACTCAACAGGAAAGTATATGTATGTAGTGCTGTCCCAAATGGCACACTAATGTTTTTTTACTAAGCGGAAATTCAAACCGTTTCCCTGATGACGTTTGACGGTTGCCAAATCATTGAAATAAATGACCAAACTATCAAATAAAACCTGCCGTGAGTATAACCGCATTCACCATCGGGAGGCGCTATAATCACTCTCGTAGGAGAATTTTGCTTTCACCATCCAAAATAAATAAAGTTATTCAACATGTGCGTCCGATAGCTCTACCTCTTCCGCTACGTAAGCAAACCTGCGGTCGTTGAGTGCGTGAAGTGTCCATCATTACACACTTCAATTTAGCGGCTGAATGAGTGCATCATCCGGGTAACTGAAGTGCTCTTATTATTTTTAGTGTTTTCAGTGTGAACGCACTACTTACACTATTTATACTACAAAATGGCGTAAAATAGTGCATAAGTATGTGATTTGGGACGCAGCTATACATTAGCAGCAAATACATTAGCAGCAAATACATTAGCATATCAAACGGTTCAGCTTATTAAAATGAATAGCTATTATAAAGAAGTAGAATCAAGTTATCAAATCTCATTAATCTTTCCTTCACTGTATAACTCACACATTCTGATTAAAGAGCAATGAATGAATCTCAATAATTCATATTTTTCGTTTGATTACATTAAACAACAGAGATGTCACTTTATAAATGCACAGATCTAACGTTATAATGAATAGGATTTAGGACAAAATTAGTTGTGTTTGACACCAAGATCGACATCTTTAGATGTTAATATTAATAATTATGTGTATATGTCTGTTCAAACACGCACCCAAAACCCAGACTTTTCCTCTGCTTCAAATCGCGTGTACAGAATCCGTTTGGAAAACAGCGTCTATTTATCACTATGGAGTCCTACAGTCAAGCGCCGCTATATGACTGTTTTGAAGATTGCATCGGCGTGACGACGGCACCTGTAGGGAAAAGGAAGATAATCTCGCCGTTTTTATGTTCATTTCAAAGTGTTTTCATGCCTAAATAACACGAAAGCACAGAACAGACTCACATTTAAGAGCAAGGGGTGGCCCCTGGTTGTCCGATTGTATGAGTTGAGTAAATGGTTGCCACCCTTCATAGACAGGTAATGTTTTGTTTTAAAACTATTTTAGCTTCACGCAAAGCTGATGTAACGTTAGATGTTCTTACCAACGGGTTATATCTTCACAGAAGTGTTGTTCAGCCACTAAAATCTTACGATAAAAGATTGATAAGTCTATTTTCAGTTTCATAAGGGACCTTTTACAGCATCTATAATGTAGATTTTAATTAGTTTAACAACAAAACACAAGTAAATAGCGATATTCCGCCTAGTCTCTCCCTATATTGTTTACCATGCAACTCTAAATTTTCACTCTGAAAAAGCATGTCAGTTTTTGCTTGCTCGCCGCCGGACAAGCACTAGTCGCTTTTAACACAAGACAGAGGGTTCTTTTGCTGTGCTCGTGTTTAAAGAGGCGTGGCTCTAGACGGCAGGGAAGGGAGTGTGATTCAGAGATTTATGCTAAGCTGTTAGCATTGTGAAAGATCATCAACTGCACCTTTAATACTTGAGGTTAGGTTTAGGAGGAGAGTAATATGCTGGTGTTTAACTGCATTGCTTTAATGCATTCCTGCATTGGGGTTTCACATACTCTGTACTACTTCATAACCATGGTGGGCGTTTCTCTTTGTCTCATTCTGAACCCAGTCGACCAATCACAACAGAGTGGGTCATTGGACCAATCAGCGCAGATTAGAGTCACAAGCAGGGGTTTGAGAACAAATCAATCACTGAACGAATCATATGGGAGTCATTGGGATAATTAGTTAAAAATAAATGCATATTATAAGACAATGAAAGTGTTTCTTGACCTTGTATGCATATCAGCCTGTTGTTTGGGACTCCCAAAACCAAAATATGACCTTTTATAATGCATAATAGGTGCTCTTTAAATAGCCAAAGTAAAACATTTACCCTAGTACATTGTGAATGAATCACTTAGAGTCATTTTGTGAAGTGAATCAAGTGAAGCAAAATAAACTCTCATGAACAAAAAGAAACTTTTTCAATCAGTAACATCTTAAATGCCATAACTAGTACTTATAATGATTGCATTCTGTATTTCAAGTCATTTGATAAGATTTCAGTTGTTGTTCGCTAATAATATTCTCCTTGAATCAGCCAGTGATGAACAAATCATTCAGAACAGTTCTTACATAACTAATGCCATAGCATGCCAATTACTGACTGTATTGAAAAGCTTAACAGCAATATACAAATCTAAAACAACATTAGAGTTATTAAATAATCAGTTTCTATACACACTGAACCTTCAAATTTGTACATTTTCATAGCCCAAACTCAAAAGTACCATTATTCTGCCATAACGAATGGAAATCTAGAACATTTTCCCACTTAAAAAGCGACCTCAGTGCTTGGGGATATAGCACCTCGGATGAGGGTTTGAGCAGCGTGTGAATATAGTTTCTTGAATTGAACACAACTTATCTCACCTTGATCACCTCTCCTGCATTGTGCCCCAGAAAGGCAATGGTGTGATCATTCTCGACAGCCACGGCCACCGCGGTCAGCAGGTTCTGTCTGATGAAGACTGGATTGGCCTTCAAGGCAAACTCCTGTCGACTGGCCAACGGTGACGGGAGAAAATCAGCTCCACACTTATACCGGTTCACTATGTCTTTCTGCAAGATAACAAAGAGAATCACGAAGCAGACACTGAAAAAAAAAAATCACTTCCAAAAGTACTTTTATTCTGACGTTTGAATTATATAATATAATTAATTGTTCAAACTCTGAAACATCTAACTACTTTTTTCAATTCACTGATTTACTACAGACCACAGATTGGTTCAATATTGTCATTTGTTTAACTTTTACCTTTATAAAACGCGTTTCCATTGCTCATTTTGGAGTATTGCATTATAAAATGCTTGATGGAAATGCCATAGTGTGTATAAATTCCAAAGATCCACATTAGTAGGATAAACTTTTTATCCTTTTTATCATAAACTACACTACCTGACAAACATCTTGTCGCTTATCCACATTTTAGGAGCAACAAATAATTACTGGACTTCTAGTTGATCATTTGGTATCAGAAGTGGCTTATATGAAAGGCAAAAGCCTCTATATTACGCTTAATTAACCAAAATAAAACATGATCATACCATGATTTTTAATGATTTAATTAGGACAGTAAAGTCTGACTTCACTTTTAAAAGTCTTGTCTCTTAACAGAAATAATGTCCAGTAAGGCTGCTCGATTTTGGGAAAAATCATAATCACGATTATTTTGGTTATAATTGTAATCACGATTATACCAAAAGATAATCAGTTAAAGTCAAAATCATTAGCGCTCCTGAGAATTTTTTAAAAATAAATATTTCCCAAATTATGTTTAACAGAGGAAGGAATTTTAACAGTATTTCCTCTAATATTGTTCTTCGGAAGGCTTATTTGTTTTGTTTTGGCTAGAATAAAAGCAGATTTAAATATTTTGAAACCTCTTTTAAGGTCAATATTAATAGCCCCTTTAGGTAATATATATTTTGGATTGTCTGTAGAAGAAAATACTGTTATATAATGCCTATTTAAGCCTTTGAATCAGACTTTGAATTTAAATGCTTGTATTCAGTTATTAGAAATGAGTGATTAAAACTATTATGTTTAGAAATGTGTTGAAAAAAAAAACTTCTTTCCATTAAACAGAAATTGGGGAGGAAAAGGGTTGCTAATATTTAGGAGGGCTAATAATTCTGACTTACAACTGCATACAGTTATTTTCCTCCCTGCAAAGGAAAGAGAAATAAATACAATAGAATAAAAATATGAAACAAACTGCTTTAAGCATCTTCACTTTATGAAAAACACTTTAGCTACAAAAGTCTTCAGTCAAGAGCAGAGAGTTGTTTTATTAATCATGATAAAACAGGCGGCAGCTATTGTGCTCTGTCACTTTAATGGTGTTAATAATGTATAATGTGATAATCACTAAACACCGCGTTTTGACACCTATTTGAACATTAAAGCGCTCACGTTAACGACTTTAGATGTGTGTGCTCTCTGCTCGTCACAATGTGCGAATGAGACCAAGTGCTGACTTTGTGGTCTTTCGCGCTTTTAAGAGCAACAAGTGAGGACAACTGGAAAGGGGGCGGTAAAAAATGGAATAATCGTTTATCTCGATTAATGCATTTTCATAATCGTTAGAAGCCATAATCGAAATCGAAATCGGATTTTCGATTAATTGCACAGCCCTAATGTCCAGTACAGAATATAAAGTCATGCTGCAGTGGAGAAAGAATGAATATGGTGTATGACTCCCATGAGCTTGGAGGACTGCATCCATACATCTCTGCAATAACTCAAACAACTTATTAATAAAGTCATCTGGAATGGCAATGGTAAAATAGCTATTTTTAACGGTTATTTAATGTGTTTTTGTCATTATCAATGCACTTATACTTTTAGTGAGCGTGAGCAGTGCGGCAAAAATAGACCCATCGCCAAAACTATCGCAGCACTGCTGCTTCAGCGACGCTCACGCCCCGGGCTGACGCGCTGCTGCTGTGTGCAGTATGAAAGCTCTAATCTGTTTACATACATCTGTTTACTTTCATCGTCCACACAGCTTCATGAAAGGTGGTGATGTCACCCAATGATCCATGTTTGGTAAACGTAGCTTGTGCGGAGGCTACTACGCTACTTGTTTAAAAAAATAGCTTTGCCACTGATCATCTATTTGATTTATAAAGTAGCAACGCTACCGCCACACTACTGAAAAATGTGGTTAAGCTAAGTAGTGACGCTACAACCCAACACTGATTCCTAGTGTTTGCAGCAAACAGGTTGCACATAATGGGCCCTATCATACACCTAGCGCAATGTGGTGCAAGGCGCAGCGCAATAGTCTTTTACTACTTTAAGCTTGGCCCAAGGGTCATTTTGAGGTGTTGCGCCACGCTGTTTAAATAGCAAATGCATTTGCGCTCAAATGTGCGCCCATAGGCGTTCTGGTCTAAAAAAGCAGACGTGTTATGGCGCGTTATTTATTATTATTATTATTATTTATTATATCCATATTTATATTTGTTTTATTAAAAACGAGCTTAGATTTGTACACCTGTCAAATTTTAGACCATATGGGGCACAGCATGTGTATTTGGAAATAACTCAGTATTTTGACCACACTTTGTAATTACTAATCATTTATTCGTTTGCTGGAAATTAGAACTGAATTTAGAAATAGTTTTGAAACAAATCTTTGCGCTTAACAAACAAAATTAATTATTTATAGGCTAATTGATGTCTGTGCGGTAAGGTTTCCCTATCCACTAGAGCAAAAGCGAAAGTGAACTTAATTTACGTCATTTTAATAATAGCAATGCGCTTATGGCGCGACGCAGCTGTCTCTTAAAGGGAATGGAAGATGAGACTCTAATTGGTTTATTCTCAAAACACACCTATAACTCATTAAGAAAATAAACTCAACCCTTTTGGACCATGCGCCACGGCGCAAAGTGGAATTTCCCGTCCTTAAGTTAGCAAAAATGTGTTCTGACACGCCCTGAAAGCGTTTGCGCCCTGCGTTTTGCGCTCTGCGCATGGACCGTCAAAATAGAGCCCTCTATGTCATACACTATAATTCACCTCTGTTTGCATGTTTGCTATGACTTTGTAAGTAACTTACTCGTGCGAATACTTAACCCTCTACTGCACGGTGTCACCATACGGCAACATGTTACTTATGTTAATTTCCCTGGCACTGTTTCATAAAGACCAACATAATTTTTTTTTTTTTTTTGTGGGAAAGAGAAGACCTTAGAGTAGCCAATGATGTGCTTTGGTTAAGTCACATGACATGCTGTGATTTCTGTTGATGATTTGAGGCAGACTGGTGTTTATTGCGAGTAGTTGCTGAATGCAAATGCAAACGTCAATAAAAACAAAGGATCAAATTATGTCAGACCCACAAAAAAATCTAAAACATCACCTCCAGTGACAAATGATGACATATTCACCACTCAAAAAAGTTTCTATCAAATTAGTTTTTTGCAAATCGCTCAAATGTGTGTGTTACCGAATCGCAATACTGTGCACTAGTGCATTGTGCAATATTGCAATGGGTTAGCTAGCTAGCAAGGTCAGCTGTGAACTTTTAACTTGTAACAATAACAACATGAATGCTAGTAATATATTGTTGATTAGTTGTATGTTAAAAACATTTGCATTATGGATCATATCTAGTTTTATTGGCAATACTATTTTTGAATAGATATGAATACAGGAAACAGTGTATTAGCGAGCACCACCATGTTCTATGGTAAATGAAAGAAGAAAAAGACAGAGCTGGCTCTTCCTGCAGATGAAATTGAGGATGAGATGGGTTTTAGTGACCATGAGAATGATGCAGACTGGACATTTGATAGAGACAGTTCAAGTAAGTTAGCTCAGAGGCAGATAGGACAGGTGTAGTATAGTATATAGTATACTATATATAAACATTGTTAGCTAGTAGCTACATTATTCTGATGCATCTGGATATACTAGACTTGTTATTTATTTGTTATAAGATTTACTGGAGAATATATTATGTTATATACATGGTAATGCAATATTAGGTTTGTTTTTAATAATATTCAGCATGGAATGAATGGTATGAATGAAAGCTGTTGGAATACGAGTAGTTGGAAAGTATGTATAAGGTGTTATTTATAAGTTCTTTGATAAAGCTTATGATACCACAACACCAATTCAATCACTTTAAACGACAGAATAATAAATTATAAGTTATAAATTTGAAATTTCTAAATTAGATCCAATGTTGGACATTGTTGCCAAATGGCAACATTTCATAAAGTACCTTAAAAAATAAATGATTCCAATTTATTTTATTATTTGTTTTTACAGCACTTCAAGTTAAGCCATTTTAAGATAAGAAAAACAGTCAAAATGTAAAAAAAAAATAGATTTATCATAATGCTTGCGGTAGAGGGTTAATTCTGTATTTGGTGTCAACCCAGCATAAGGAGTAAACTGATCTCATCTCAAATGTTGTTTTAATAATTCTGCAATAGCTTGACCAAAAGTCTATGCTCAAAACAATTTTTTATAGTAACGCTGGTTTCCAAGGAGGTGACAATCAGGGCTTTACATTAACACCCGCTAACCCGCCAAACGTGGGTAGAGGTTAGCTCTGGCGGGTTAGACAGACACCTCCACTAGCCACTTTGGCTGGTTGGAATTCATTTTTAAAGGGTCACGAAACACCAAAACACATTTTTTGAGCTGTTGACAGTCGTATATGTGTCCCACACTGCTAAAAACACTATTAGGACACCTATATTTCACTAAAAAGTGTAAATTGGTTGTTTTTGCGTTATTTCAAGCAAATTCGTACTTCCGGTTTGAAACGAGTTTTTAAAGCTGCGTCACGGTCATGACATAATAGCGTTGTATTCCAGCGTGCAGACTGGGCGTCTGTGCCAGAGTGTGTCTTATTACGTCTTACAGTGTGATGCATTAATGCATGAGTAAGGCTTGGTTCAAACCAATCAGCGCGCTCTATTGTGCAACTTCATTAATATTCATTACTGTCAGAGTGTAGATGGCAGAGACGCCACGTTGTGTTGGCAAAACAAGCGTGAAGTGTTGCTTTTATAGTTTGCTGCCGTTAAGTTTCGTTTTCATTTTCTCTCTGTGAGAGCTCAGACTCACGTGTGGATTAACAGTGTACGCGACGCTCGACAACAATAACTTACGTGTCCAAGGAGGATTATTGTTTACCTGAGAGCTGTTCTCATCTGCAAACGCTGAGATCCAGATTCGCTTGTAGTCTTCTCTTAATAAAGACGCGGCTCTAGTTGCTGGTGATTGTCCTGTCTCTACAGATTTGGTGAGTGAGCGACCAGTGCTCTTTGTTTATTCAGTTCGTATTTTATTCGTATCAAACAAACTATTGCACCGAGTGTAAACAAGTTAGCACTAACAGTTACAACCAAACTATAACCTCGTGTTGGATTTTGTGACCGGAATAACACACGCGGCTTTCTGACACTACCTGCCGTGTGCATCTAAGTTTCCGGGAAATGCTGAGTTTTTTTTCTCTCATTCGCCGTGCGGTATCAAACATTGCATAAAAAATACACGCTTAGAGCAGTTCCTCAAATCAAATATCACGTTTGTCGGGAGGAACATGAATGAATTCCCAGAATGAAAGAACCAAACTGCAGTTAAAGTCCACCATTTAATAATCTGGCAAATAATTCGACTACAGATGTCCATGTAAACACAGTCACATTGTCCGCTGTGGTTGTGTGTTTTGACTCTGAAATTCAGCGCGCCCAAATAGACACTCCCACACCAAGCCTCTTTTGTTCCTCCGACACTCCCCCCTAAACAGAGCTGGACACGCCCACTTTTCTGACTTTTTCCAAAGTAGAGGTGTGAAAACACCCTGCTGAAACGAGGGGGTTTCATGGCCCTTTAAATTGTAGTTTTCTTAAAAGCAGGGTTCGACAATAAGCATGGCCCGATATTCGTGCAAATGTGTTCTTTGAATAGAGAAGCACTGACAAAAAAATAACTGTGTTCGCGCGAGCAAAACAGCAAAAAAGAAGGTAAATCCTGAACGAGAGGATGATCACTTGTGCGCACAGGTGATGATGCGTGTGACTGTTAAAAAGCGCGCGTGCTCCCATTTACTTGCGCGATTGGTTCCCTTTGAAATAGACTGGACAAAGAGCGATGATCGTGCACCCACAGTCCTGCTGCTTCCGAGAGCTCTATATATATATATATATATATATATATATATATATATATATATATATATATATATATATATATAAACACATTCTTTTGTTTCTGCTTTCATTTTAATTATTCTTTGAACAGATGATTATTAAAAGGCCTATATTAACCGCGTGCATGTGATCATCCTTTCATTATCACACGCGGTGTGTTTAACCTGCTTTGTTTTGCTTAGTTATTTTTGTTAATATGGTTTAATTATTTTTTTTTTACAAGAACATTGCTTTAATGGGAGATTACTCCCTGTTTATGTGTAGTTAACTACTGATCTGGGACTTTTATCCAGGACCGATTACTGTGCATATTTTAGATACATAACAATACTTCTTTTATAGATTTCATGTTTTTTTTTTAAAGAAAAGTTTTGTTGAATTAAAAAGTGCACCTATACAGCCATATTTTCCTTGTTTTGACACATTAAAAAATTGTGGCTGAGAAATACTTATTTGGTGTGGTCAGAGATAAATTTGGTAAATTTTTAATTTTGAGCTGAAAAATTTCTGTGAAATTAAAACTAATTGCATTGCGACAACAAATTTGCTCATGCACACTGAGCAAGCCAATACACAACACACACAAGAAGTTAAATGATAGAGGAAGCATGTTGTGGACATAACACAACATCTAAATCAAGTCATCTTAGCATATCAAAGTTAAATTTAAGCATATAAAATGTATTTTCCCAACAAAAAAGTGTGGCTAGTAAAAATGGCGAGTGGCTAGTTTTTGTCAAGCCCTGGTGACCATTATATATTATCTTGAACACATGAAAAGGAAAGCGATTTATTCGCAAATCGTTTATGCAAATTTGTACATTTCCACACATAAAATAGATTCCCAACATCCCTACTGTGATATTGAGCGAAGTAAATAAACTGGTACTCACATCGTGTTTGACACAAGGACCGTCTTTACTGGACGTGTAGGGACTCTCCACGACTAATCTGTCATCAATCTTCCCATTATCCGTGTAGCAAGCCGTAACGATGGCCAACAGTTTCTGGTTGATGTTTTTCAGGGGGTACATACACAAAGCAGATTCGGTGGCCCCTTCCTCTGAGCTAGCCACCACAAACAAGACTTTATCCCATTCCTTGACGGTGCCGTACTCTCCAGAATCAGTCATCACCTGGGCCAACTCTTTCCCTGGATCTGACAAGTACGCCGCCTGGACTTTATTGTACCGATTGTTCAGGCCACAGCTAAGCTGAAGCTCTGTATATGAATAATAGTGATTGTCGTTCTCGCAGAGGCGTGAGATGAAAGTAAAGTTCTTGTTGTCGGTTCTGCCAAGAGTTCGCGAAAAGAGGAAGTAGACAAAATTGTCGTTTTTAAAGGCAAAGCGAAAGTCATGCAGGTACTTGGGCACAAAGGGAACTGCTTGGACGGTAGACGCCTCGATGATGCTTTCAAACACAACCCAGTCGCGGTAGTTCTGCACGATTCGGGTGCTGATGAGTTTGGAGCTGTCCATGCTTCCATATCCTTTCCCCACTAAAAAGACACTGAATGGCTTATTGTCGATTTCGAGCGTGGCCATGACCCCCACTACAGAAACATAATCTTCAGTGCTGGCTGCATAAGTCCGCTCTCCCTTGCTGTCACTATAATAGATCTGCTCTTTGACATTGGTGAGGTTGAGCAGAGAGCAGATTCCTCGATACAAACTCCCACAGACTATTAGTGACCCGTTTGCCGAATGAACCAGCAAGAGTTTATTGGTATTGTTGGTGTCTTTCAGATCCTGGCAGGTAGACACCGGAGGGGTGCATCCTTTCGCGTCTTTCTTGGGCCCAGTTTCAGCTCTGGCCTCAAGATTCAATAAAGAGTCCAACTGATAAATGGCATTGACCGCACCCAAATAAACACGCCCCGTCAGAGGGTCCTGCACCACGTTATTGATTGGCGTGTCAGTGGAAAACTCAAACATGGAGTCTTCAGAGGATGCAGGGGTTACTTGTAGCACCAGTAGGACCGCTGATAACCAGAGAGCCATTGCTGTGAAAAGAAAAAGTCTGAATTAGGACAAATGTGACGTTCAGATGTTGAATCGCATGGCCACTGCTATAAAAAGAAATATGGAGGCAGTGTACACAAAGTTGACATATAAACAGATGATTACTATAACTGTTTGTGAAGGTCGTTACAAGTGTGCCTGACCACGTTGCCTATTCATCCCTTCAGCGAACAATCCTTCAAATTAAAAACCCTGACAAGGCTCAGACCTGGGCGTCTGTTTTTATGATGTTAACCTGCCATTCCCTGGAGTTTCATGAACGCAGCGGAGTGATAACGCACTTATCCTGAGGGTTGAGTTAATTTCAGCTCTCACATTCATTTACATAAAACCCCCTGCCCTCCTATTGCCAATTTTCATCTTTTTCCCCGTCTCCCTGCTGATCACGAAGCTCATTTATTACAAATTCCATTTCTTCCCGTAAATGTAGCTGCCCTTTTTAGATCGTACCCTTAAACAATTCTTTTTAATTTAGAATGGTGGCTTAAATTGGTTTGCGTTGTTCGCTCTTTTTTCAGAGTGGCTTGTTATTCTTTTACCTTGTCCTAAGGCTGTTTTTGCTGCTGATGATATGTTGCAGCAGTGGTTTATGTGGGACTCAGGTGTAGATTAGAGCAAAACGTGACCAATCACCAATGGGATCTTTGCCATATCTTTACTATTTCCAAGTGTGATGTAACCTGGGGCAAGGTTATGATACTTTTAGGGCCCTTGATTAGAGACAAATCCTGACTTGATCTAGTGAGGCCTAATGCTGGATATCTTCCAAGGTGGGACCATATACCCCCCATCCAACCCCCATATACCAACCCCTTTCTCTTTTCTTGTGTCCAAAAGATATGTCTGCCTGTATAATATTTATATGAACACAGAGAGGAAAAACAGGATCTCTGCATTATTTTAACTATTCAAACTTTTCTTCAAAACAGAAGTGTGATTGCCCATGCAGGAGATTGACCTAGTGGGGTTTATTGCTGGATTTCTTCCAGGGGGGGGGGGGGGGGGGG